ACCCTAACCCTAACCAATCAGATTTTTTAGCTTCAACATCAGCCAAACTTCAGCATCAGCCGTCACAATAAATATTTATAAATACTGTATGAGTAGTTTGTCTTAAATATCTTTATTATTATTAAATAATTTAAATAAATGACCTTAAACAGGAAATATTGTGTGATAGTAAAAGCTTACCCCAGATAAACGCGAATGAAATAAATCTAAACTAATATGTTAAATCCATCATTAAATGGCGGGAATATATAACAATTATTTAACTCATTATTTCTGCATTTAATGAAAGTATTTGACCCGTTATTCGATGATGTGCATAAACTTTATAGAATCTAATTAACCAACGTTAACGTTAGTCTAATGCTAACGCTAAAATTCTATATGCATTGGTTGTCCAACGTGAATAACTCTAAATTGTAGATAATAATTCTTACGATTGTTAACAAATTTGTGAAAATTATAATTCATCGGCAGTATGATGCATCAACACTCTAATTAAATCAAAGCTTTTGTTTTCAAAAAAAAATAAACAGTAGTTAAGGTTAGGATAGGATCAGAAGTGGCAATAATTAAAAAACTTCCTAACCTAAAATTGCGCAAGATTTTTTCTTTAGAACGAAAAGAGCAGTTATAAGCGATTTTTGAAATAATTCGCATTACAGCTAATCCTGAACACTAATTGGTAGTAGCTATGCGTCGCACTGGCTATGAATTACAATAATCTAACGTTAGCAAGTAAGTATAAGTATATATTTAATACAAATCGCTTTGTCTTGATACGTTGTCATATTAACATCAATACCAGATCTGCATCTTTTTGAAAAGATAATATGACTGTAACTATTATCGATAAACAACACCCTGACTGGAAAATCAAACGTTGCATCAAAATAGCAGCTGTCTCTAAGAATCCAGAGGTGATCTTAAGACAATATTGCAAGACTAAAAGAGAAGCCAAGGCTGTATATATGGGTTTTCAAGGTTATAAGTTTGGGTTTCATTGCCTTCCAAATCACCCACGTTGAAGAACCAGATCAAATTCATAGATGTATGTCACTTCTTACACACTCTACCCAACTTAGAATTTTGCTTAAACATGTACATATGACCATGAAGACAAAGTTCACACTTTCGTCGAGCAGTAAATCGAATATTTTATAAATATCGAAAATTTAATTTATAATTTTAAGCTTCACGCATAAATTAAAAAAAGCAAATCTATTTTCAAATTTGCCAATGTGAGGTCATAGCTCCGCTTAACCTCGTTTAGAGATTAAATTGATTACAAATCGATTTGTAAATTAAAAGTCATGTGACACATATAAAAATATTACGTATAAGGCTTTAGACAACCTCTTTGTTTAGCATAAAAAGCAAATCTATTTTTTGTGAAACAATGCCATTAAGCTATATTTAAAGTCAGTTTCACCAAATTCCGAAGCTAGTATACAATAGTTACATCATTTACACAGCACAAAAAAAAAAAAAAATTCTAGTTTTGTTTCAAAATGATAGCATTGCCAAACGAATGTCTTTTCGAGATATTAGATAATCTTAAAGATTATCGTAGATGCTTATTTTCATGTCTTCTTGTAAACCGTCAATGGTGTAGAAATGTTGTACCGATATTATGGAGAGAACTAGATGTTTTTAAGTATAAATCACTAGTGAGAATGTGTCTTTTAATGTTAAACATTGAAGAACAATCCTTATTGATACCATTAAACGTAATACTTCCGAATCATCCAAAGCCATTATTCGAATACACAACATACACTATAGATGTTAATATTGATTCAATCGATGGAATTGTAAGTTGGCTTAATAATGGAAAACGGGAGCTTCATTATTCATGGTCAACTGTGACTAAAATAATTAAACACTCTTTAACTCTAATGCTTCTACGAACTTGTGATAAACTTAAAAATTTATGCATTCACGGTAAAACAATAAATTTATTAAAATCAATTCTTGACAAA